TTTAAAAAAAAAAAATGTAATTTTGTTTTTTAGTGAGACAAAGCTAGCTCTCATCCACGCTGCTGTACTCCCAAATGCGAGCAGTGGCTGGGATTGGGCCAGGCCAAGGCTGAAAGTCCAGGTCTCCCACTGGTGGCAGGGACCCAATTATTTGAGCCATCACCACTGCCTCCCAGGGTACACATTAGCAGGAAACTGGAATCAGGAGCCAGAGCTGGAACTCAGACTGGCGTGTGATACAGAATGTGGGCATCTTAGCCGCTGGTCCACCACCGAGCCCTGCACTTAGAACCTCGGGGCACCACTGGGTAAAAGTTGTAACGCATTCTGCAGTTTCCCTGACCTACTTACCGTTGATGGAGTTTATCCTCTCAAAACCAGAGCTGCCTTTCTTCTCCTTCCGTAGTCTTTTCTTTCTATGAGTCTTCTCCTTGTCAGTGATTTGTTGAAACCTATCCCAGTGAGTCAGGAAAATAAAATCTATTCTTCCACCCACTTGTACTTCATATTTGTCTTTCCTTCTCTCGCTCCCTTCCCAATGCCCACACCCACATTTCTGATAGTGTTTCTCAACTGTTAGTGCTAATGCTCTAACGTGACAGGCATTTCTAAAGCTATCACAGACTAGTAAAGTTAGACTCCTCGGAGTTAATAAAGGCCAGTGCACTGTGCTTTCCTGCTTGTTGCTTTTCTGGTCTCTTGCTTACTGCGAACCATCCTTGGTGGACAGGGGAAGTGTAAAGTTGCACATTTGTGAGTCCTGGAGGGGAGTATTGGCAGCTGAGGACTTCTTACTGAAGAACAGTTCTCTTCCACTCTTTTCCTCACGTATTTAAGCCAAGCTACTGCGCCAGTACTGAGTGTAAACCTTGATTTTACAGTATCAGTGGAAGAGCCAATAACTTTGAAGAACTTAGCAAATTATATGATGTTAAGACTGATAACTCGTTTTAACTGGAAATTGGTTTTTTAGAATGAATTCCATGCCTCTGAATAAAGAAGGAATAAATTGGATCTCCAAAAAAGTTCATCTGGTAATAATAACAGACTTTGCTATGGTTTAGATGTCTGCAATGTAAAGCTCGCCTTCAGATTTTCAGTTGGTAACTTCATAAATAGTATTTATCTTCCAGTGGTGCTCGCTGTATAGGCAGAACATTTGCAGGATCCGGCAGCATCTGGCAGTGGCCACTCTTAAATTTCTCTTACCGCTTTCTGTTTAAAACTCCCATTTGTCTCTGCGTTGGTAGTCGGTGCTGGAGTTTGTTTTGCCCCTGAACAATTAAGGTATTGTATGGTTTGTTTAGGTCATTCACCAGATGTTGCTTTAGTGGTTCTGCTGCTATCTGATCTGGGTTGCTCATTGTTTGGCAGATCTTTATGAAAGTTCTTTGTAATTGAGCTCCCAGTGATTTAGCGTGTTTCTAAATTACTGTAATCGTCTGATGTTAGGTTTTGAAATTTGTCAAATTTGTCGACATTCCATTTATGCCTATAATTGTTACCTCTGTCTTCTTTTGCCCCTATTTTAAATCTCTGCCTTCTGTTTTAGTTTATTTATAACTGCTTTGTTTCCTAAGTTAGAATGAAAATAGTTCAATAATTTTTTTCTGCTCTATAAATGCAAAAAGATGAAAGTTTAATACTGTATTCACAGTTTTACAAATAATTAAATTTTATTCTTTATCTGCTCCAATCCTTGAATTAGAACTTAATCCCAAAAACATTTAAACACAACTTCAGGATCAGAGACAAACTTAGGAATGAAGTTCATGTTTATTTTCTGTCTGCTGTCATCCTTTTTGGTGCCCTGTGCCTTTGCTTCAAACTTGGTTTAAAAGCGTTCTCAAAGATGCATTGCCTTCTAGGGCAAGTGTTTGGTATGGCAGTTAGGATGCCGCTTGAGACCCCTTGCCCTCATCCCATATTGGAGTGCCTGAGTCTGAGTTGAGGCTCTGCTCTGATTCTAGCTTCCTTCTGATGCACACCCTGGGAGGATGGCCCGGGTACTCCAATCCTTGCCACTCACTTGGGAGCCTGGATTGAGTTCCCAGCTCCTGGCTTCAGCCCTGCCCAGCCCCAGCTAGGGAGTGAACCAGTGGATGTTTGTCTCTGTTTCTCTCTTTCTCTGACTTTCAAATAAAATGAAAATTAATTTTAATATGTTTATTGCCTTCTAAACAGAGATTACAATAAGTAGAAGAACAGGGACTAGTCTGGGAATAAGACATTTCTTGTGTTTCCCAAAATCCAGCCCGTACATCTCCCAGTGATCTAAACTTAGCCATGTTACTTAACTTTCTGAGTCTGGTTCATTGCTTTTAAAGATTGATTTTTGTTTATTTGAAAGGAAGAGAGAGAGATCGATCAATCAGTCTTCACCCACTGGTTCACTCCCCAGATATCCACAAGGGCTAGGGCTGGGGCTGGGCATCCAGGTCGCCCATGTCGGTGGCAGGGGCCCAAACACTTGGGCCATCTTCCACTGTTTTCTCAGGCACATTCTCCAGGAGCTGGATCAGAAGCAGAGCAGCTGGCCTGTGCCCTGAAATGGGATGTCAGCATTGCAGGCGGCATGGGGTAGATGTAAGAGCAGTACGTCACCCGTCATAGAGAAAGTGCTTCCCCAAAGGCAGTGTCTCCGACCATGTCAGAGTACAGTCTGCTGAAAATCTGTGGCTCTGTCTTTGATTCTGGACGCTTGTAAGTTCTCATGGTCCGACAGCCGAAATAAAGAAGTAAGTTCCGGGGCTGGCATTGTGGTGTGGCGGGTAAAGCCACTGCCTGCTACACCAGCATCCCATATGGGCATCTGTTCAAGTCCCGGATGCTCTACCTGGACCAAGGTTGCAAAGATTATTTTTTAAATTATATTGCAACTATTTTTCTAATCCTACATAATTATTCTCTCTTAATTGGTAGTGATTTATTTAAGAACCAAAATGTCCTGAATTCGCTGTGGCATTTCATGCAGAACTGCACTGAGGACATTGTGCCGTTGCACATCAGGGTGCAAATTAGTTAGCCAAAAATAGGCAGAAAGAACAATATTTAACTTTTTAGCTCATTTTGTCTACAAAGTATATTCATATTAAGAATTAGTTTATTAGCTTCTTTAAGTTCCCTTTATTTTTCATCTGGTAGTGTTTTGACTAAGAGTCAGCTTACTATTCTTATGTAAGTTTTCATGGTTTTGAAGACATACTATCAAAACTAAACTTGTACAAAGTTATAATAGTGCTGATTGAAAAATGAATTATCTTTGTTAATATAAGACAGTGAGAACAGTTAAAAAATAATACCTTCTGATTTTAAAGTGTGAATGAAATATTATACTTCATTTCCATTTAGAAGTGTGGGGTTGTTTCTGTTTTGTTTCTGCATTATAATTTCAAAGCTGTGAATCCAAGAAGTTTCCATCTATTCCAAGGACTGCTCTGGACTGTGTGCTTTTTAAAAGCTTTGCACATGGGACCAGCACTGTGGCGTAGTTGGTAAAGCTGCCGCCTAGAGTGCCAGCATCCCATCTGGGTGCCGGTTCAAGTCCCAGCTGCTCCACTTCTGATCCAGCTCTCTGCTATGGCCTGGGAAAGCAGTAGAGGATGGCCCAAGTCCTTGGGCCCCTGCACCTGTGTGGGAGACCCAGAGGAGGCTCCTGGCTCCTGGCTCCAGATCTGCACAGCTCTGGCTATTGCGGCCATTTAGGGAGTGAACCAGTGGATGGAAGACTTCTCTCTCTCTCTCTCTGCTGTCTCTCCTTCTCTGTGTAACTCTGACTTTCAAATAAATAAATCTTTTTTAAAAAAATGCTTTTCACATCAATTTTCTCAATTATTGGAAGAATGATTTTTGTGAATATGAGTATTGCATCATCTTGTGGTGAAAGCTAGAGTTCAATACTAAAAAGCACTCTTGCCTTGATTTCCAATGGATTGTTTCACTAGGGGCCATGGAACCACTTTAAATGCAGTGAACGCCCAATGTGAGGCTTTGTTAGTGAGCCACCTTGCCAGTAAGCTATGATCCGTCCTTTCAACATCAGCCGTTCTAGCGGATCTAAGTAGCATCTCATTGTGGTTTTAATTTGGAGTTCCTCAATAACTAATGATTTTGAGCATCTTTTCATGTTCTTATTTTCCAATCTGTTTTCCTTGATGAAATATCTGCTCAAATCTTTGCCTATTTTTATAGCTCTTTTTTGTTGTTGTTGGTATTTATTTGAGAGACAGATCTTCCATTTGCTGGTTCACTCCCCAAATTCAAAGGCCAGGACTGTACCAGGCCATAGCTGAGAACTGGGAACTCAGTCCAGGTTTCCCATGTAGGTGGCAGGGACCCAATTACCTGAGCCTTCAACACTGCCTTTCAGGGTCTACAGTAGCTGGAAGCTGGAGTCGGGAGTAGAGCTGAGTATTAAACTCCACCTTCTGATATAGGACACAGGCATCTTAACTACTAGGTCAAACATTCACCCTGCCCATTGAGATGTGTGTGTGTGTCTGCTCGTTGAAATCTGTATATGTGTGTGCTCTGTGTGTGTGTGTGTGTGTGTGTGTATTTGAAAGACATTCACAAGTGGCAGGCGATGGAGAGAGAAAGAAATCTTCTACCTGTTCAGCTTTGCCTTAATGACAACCATACTTGTTATATAGCATGTGCTATTCAGTCATTACAAATGATTTCCCCCTCATCAGTATCTCACGTGATTTTGAAAACACTTAGTTTGAGGGGGAATTTAGTGATACATTAGTTAGCGTTCTCAATAAGGTTTGAAAATGGTTCCGAGAGTATATATTGAGTGTCTTCAGCCATCGAAGGCTGTGGCCCTGCAAGGCAGTATATATTTGGTACGTGTGAAATCCTTTGCCCTTGTTAAAGCAGCTTTTCTTGAAGAGGGAGATAACAGTGTCCAGTTAAAGGATAAAGCACCGTAAAGCACCTTGGTCCACTTCTTTGTTCACAGTGTTAATGCTGGTCTTGTAACTCTGCCCTGTCCACAGGTTAAAGTATTGCACAATCAGCTGGTCCTTTTCCACAATGCCATTGCCGCCTACTTTGCTGGGAATCAGAAGCAGCTTGAACAGACACTTAAACAGTTCCATATCAAATTGAAAACCCCTGGAGTGGATGCCCCATCGTGGCTTGAAGAACAGTAAATCACACCTGTAGAGAAAGTGGTACTGCTATGTTTCTAAACCAACCTAACAAGAAGTAGGCGGAATGGGGCAGGTGATGAGGGGCGACAGCCATGGTAGTGATTCTTGCACAACAGCTTTACTTTTTCCCTTTTGTCACACTTTAACAATTGAACTGTTAAATTTGAGGGGAAGGTGGGTGGTTTTAATGTAAACACAGTTTCTATAATCTGAACACAATAATTTTTCCCTTTTGAGAAATCCTTTTGTATTATGAGGGTTGATGGCTATTTCTGTAGTTTGAAAACATCTAACATAGATTTGCACTGACAAGATAAAACTGCGAGGATCTGGCCCAAGAATTGAGGGCCAGCTGTAACTTTTCCAAGGGAAGGTTTACATGATTTGTATCGATGTCTGCTATTTTGTATACGAATATATTGAACATCTGTAAGAGATTCATTTTCATGTATCGTCAAAGAGAAACCTATTTTACAGAGGAAAACTCTATGGTGTTGCTGCAGCATTCACAGAGGGGTGGCAGTTCCAATGAATGACTGAGTGGCCTGTGGGGGTGTAGCAGGTACCTTTTCGGAAGTGAGTCTGTACCACGGTGATTTGTGTGTAGGCTTCTCCTGAGATGCAGGGGGCACACAGTCGTTTCCGTGAGGCGCTGAGGCTTATGCGTGCGCATCACCCGGAGTCACTGGGCAGTCACACTAGTAATTCCTTTCGATTTGGCATGAAACCTGCCTGAGACAGCTTTTTCTTTTTTTTCTTTTTTTTCTTTTTTTTTTTTTTTGGTCAGGTGGACTTGGGAATGGAAATTCTTGAGGATTTCTAAAGTAGAAATCTTCTCAGAAAGCTAGTTTTTGGGTAAATTCCATGTTGACAGAATTCCTAGATAGCTTTCATTGACTTTGTGTAACAATACCGTTTAAGCCTTAAATCACAGATATGTGCCTTCTCAGATACAGTGATTCTCGTTCACCCAGTGTACATAACCCATAAAGAAGCCCCTTGCAGATAATGTCTGATGTGCTTGTTCCTTCCTTGGAAGGGAGCACTGTGTGCAAATGTTGGGTTTCTTTGTCCTCCTTAAGCCACATTTGAGGTTTATGGTGACATCGACTTCTGAGTTTGCTGTTTGGTTTTGCTGGATTCCTTTTGAGGAATGGGAAGAGCGACAGATGTTCCATGTGGGTAATAGAAGAGTGATGTGGGACAGAATGCGATCACGGAAGAAAGGGGCGTGGAAAGCCAGTAAGTACCGTTCTAGTTGCTCGGCATCCTTAGTTTCGTGTTCTGCGGTTGACCTGTCACTGTGTGCTTCTATCAGTAATGCAATCCTTATTCAATGTAAAATTCTTTTGGTTTTTGTCATAGGCATAAATTAATGTTTCGAGAGACGCCGCTTCACCTGTTCATTTCTTTTGTGTTGAAATGAAGTACTTAAAATTACTGTTATACATGAACTTTGTGAACTGTAAGATTCTGTTACGTATGTTCAGATGCCTTTTAGCTGGCTTTTTAATTAATATGCCTGTTTTGAGTGCTTAATACAATGTAATGTGATTGTAAATCATAAACGTATTTTAAATCATTCCCTCCTGTATATTTGTACTCTGAGAGAGCCTTATTTTATTCTTCCAGCAGAGTTACTACTTGTGATAGTTCATTCACATTCCCCAGAATGTGCCTCTGGTGTGGATTTTGTATTCTTATTAAAAGTGTTTGCTGCAGTACTCTCTCTGGCCCTTCATAGTTTTGTGGGATTTGGTTGGTTGGTTGGTTGGTTGGTTCTAATTTGGGAGTCAGAGGGACAGAGATAGCTGCCATCCACAGGTTTACTTCCCAATGTCCCCACCTTAACCTGGGTCTCCCAAGTGAGTGTCAGGTACCCAACTATGTAAGCCATCGTGTCTGCCTCCAAGGGTACACATTTCCAAGAGTACACATCCAGTAGGTCATTCTTTTCCCTCGTTCTGCATCTTTTATGGAAGCTGAACATGTCCAGTCATATGACATTTCAGTAACAGTTGTAGCAAAGGAACTAAATAGTTCCAGGGATTGAAGTTTGTTCAGAATAAACTTCATTGATTCTGAGTAGTGAGTACATGAAAGAAGTAAGTAAATTACTACATTAGCCAGTGGTTTGTTTACTTTGTTAGGGAAGGAAATCACACATTTGTTATAGAAAAAAATTAGAAAATTTCATAAAATGGAAGGTAATAGGTATTTTCCTAAGTGAATGAGTACTGCATGAAGCTGCCTAACTCTCCCAAAGGTGGTTGTTTTAATGGCCACTTTATAAGCTCTGGTTTGCATATCCCCATACACACACTTTGAAGATTTTTACATGTTGCTTGTTTGCTTTCTAGAGTGTGCCAGTTTACATCTCTTAAGTGTATCCACAAGTACCTTATTAGTGTATTTTCAGCCAGTCTGAGTGAAATGCACACAATGAACAGGCCATCGCTTTATAAATATTGTAGGTGGAAAGGAAAAACCAACAGGAAGATAGTTTGAGCAATCAGTTTGGAGAATTTGGTTGGAAATGGCAAAGTTTTTGTCATTAAAATAGAAATTATATGGGGCAGTGTTGTGATATAGAATGTTAAGCCTCTGCCTGCAGTGCCAGCAACCCATATGGGTGCCAATTTGAGAGCTCCACTTGCAATCCAGCTCCCTGCTAATGCGCCTGGGATAGCAGTGGAAGATGGTCCATGTCCTTGGGCCCCTGTACCCATGTGGGAGACCAGAGGAAGCTTCTGGCTTCAGTCTGGCCCAGCCCTTGCCATTGCGGCCATTTGGGAAGTGAACCAGTGGATGGAAGATCTCTCTGCCCCCCCCCCCCCACTCTGCCTTTCAAGTATAAATAAATCTTTTTTTTTTTAATTAGATAAAATAGAAAGTCATTCAGGAAAATAAGGACACCGGACCTGGGCTAGCAGAAGCTACTTAGTCAGAATCCAGACTTCAATCTGCATATTCAGAACATGCTGATGATGTCAGTGAAGCTTACCAGAAGGTTCTTTTTAAAAACAATACCAATGCCCCAAAATGCATTGAACTGACTTAGCCAACTCCACATCTCCAAAGATAATATCAAAAAAGTATTTGCAACTAAATATGTGAGTGAATCCCCCTTTAAATCCTGCCATTACAACTGCCTAATTAAATCATTGTGTTAAAAGTGTCAAGTGCTTCTAAAGTTAAATACAATATATAGTTAATGTCTTCTCAATTGAAAAAGTAAAAATCCATCCACCCCTAAATAGATTTGTATTAGGTACACTGCAAAGTATATAAGGTGTTCGTGGTTTTTTTTTTCTTTTCAAGATTTATTTACTTGAAAGGTAGAGTGACAGAACGATGGAGAGACAGTGATATCTCACACCCACTGGTTCACTCCTCAAGTAACCACAGCAGCCGAGTCTGGGCCAAGTAGAAGCCAGGAACTCCCATCTGGGGCCTCCCACATAGAAGGCAGGGTCCCAGGTACTGGGCCATCAGCAGGAAGCTGGATCCTAAGCAGAGCAGCTGGGACGCAAACTGGCACTCTGATACGGGATGTGGGTGTCGGGTGGCGCTGAACCCACTGCTGCACAACGCCATCCCCATGATGTCATCCTCTGTCTATTGCTCTTTAATTCTCGATATTCTCCCAAAGAAACTGGATGATTCCAAAAAAGTGTTGTAGAAAGTAACATTGTGTATGTTGAAAAAAAAAAAAAACTAAAGATAAAAGTCTTTTAATTTTAATCATGGAACTGCTCATTTAAAGAGCAATGGATCTACCTCAAAATGTGCCCAGGCTCTTTTAATTTCCCCTGGGGACGATCTTAGGTGTGCAGAATAAAAGTGGATCATCTGAGTGGCTGCTTCAAGGCAACATTCTGTAATTTGTGCCATTTGTGAAGGGCTACTTAGAATGCCTGCATTTTGCAATAATCCTAAGTATCTTCTGCCATTAGCAACTTTTCTTCAACTGTTTAATTGTTCGGGAGAGTCAAGAAACTTCACTGAATTCTAACCAAATTTAGACTCCAACAAATTTGATTCCCCTTTCGGATAACAGATTTTTATGTTGACTAGACTATCCAGGAGCGAGCAGTAGGCTGTTTTCTGATGGAAAGCTAAGTTACATTTTACATTAGTTCAAAGCTTTTCTAAAGCCTGAAGTCCTTTACTATTTCTGCAGTATAGCAAGCCCTATTAAAATAGATTGGCCGCAGTTTTCCTCTTGACTTTTAATAAATGCCCTGTTCCCACTTGAAGGTTTCCTGCTTAAACAGGTTTCCTGGGATAAATGAGGCCTTATAACAAATTGCCAAGTAGTCCTAATGGTTAGGAAACTAAAGTTCAGCTTTGTTTTTGTGAAATAAAGTTTGACTTTAAATACTACACGTACATTAAGCAGAGAATTATTTGTTGTTCTGAGGTTAACCCTGATGTGGAACAAAGAGACCATCAGATGAGGAATGGAAGTCAGACCCTGTCTGAGAACTAACTCTGTTTCTGTGCCAGTGATTGATCAACATGCTCTCAGAGCTGGGAATTTCAGCGACCCCAAAACCTTTCCACAGACAACAAAACCCCCATTTGCTTCTGTGGGCCCAGCCAAGGCTTCACCATAAGCATGCTCTATCAAAGACTCTGAACTGTCTCCACTGTGGTTCACCATGAGTGGTTGATTATTTTTAAAGATTTATTATTATTATTTTTATTTGTAAGAGTTACAGGGAGAGACAGATCTTCCATCCACTGGTTCACTCCTCAAACAACCGCAACAGCCAAAGCTGGGCCAGGGGCAAGGAACTCCATCCAAGTCTCCCACACGAGTAGCAGGGATCCAAGCACTTGGGCCATCCTCTGCTGCTTTCCCAGGCACATTAGCAGGGAGCTGGATAGGAAGTGGAACAGCCAGGACTTGAACTGGCACCTGTGTTGCAGGCAGTGGCTCCACCCACTGTGCCACAGCGCCAGCTCCTCGGTGGTTTATTGGTAAGGAAACCATAAGAGGAACAGGATCCTATTTTGCTGATCTTCAAAGTAGCTTTCCTCTGCTTACACATCCAAAGCACCTTGCTTTCCGTACAAGTGTATGTGTTTCTATAAATAACCTAGGGATGAGATGGGCGCTGTGTACATCTTCCCAGGATATTGGACCACTGGCTGTAGAAGTTTTACTAGAAAAAAGGCAAGCTCTCACTATGCAAACTTTTTTCAAGTAGATGCAAGGTATTATGGAGTAGAGAGAAAGCAGCATTAATCCTTTTGGTTTTCATGAAAAATTTAGAAAGGAAGATGTTTTTAGAATAATGAATAAGAAAGCATTTGTATGTGCCACTTTTTATTCCAAATGGCTTCTGAGTCTATGTTAGAAAGCTCTTTTATGAAACCTACATGTAAAGTTTCAGGTAGATAATTACACTTCTTTCCTTTGAGGAATATGTACTTATTATGGCTAGACGCTAAGCTCTTGAGGACGGCACAGACTATGCTGTTTTATTCACCTTGTAGCCCTGACTCCTTGCACAGTTCTTAGCTCAAACGACTCAGGCATAAAAATCTGTTCATTTTTTTTTTCCAAAACTCAGTGCAGAAAAGTATTCAGTTGCAATGCTATTTCAGTTGAATGAGTTACAAAAAAGGCAGTACAGTTAGAGCTATTACAAAGTAATGCCAGAGTGTTACCTAAGATAATAGGATGTATCAAAAGTTTTGTTTTAATGTAGTAAGAGGGTTAATCCTTAACCTGCAGCACTGGCATCCATATCAAGTGCTGGTTCAAGTCCTGGCTGCTCTGCTTTGCACCAAGCTCCCTGCTAATGTACTTGGGAAGGCAGTGGAGGATGGCCTAAGTGCTTGGGCCCCTGCCACCCATGTAGGAGACCCAGATGGAGTTCCTGGCTCCTGGTGTCTGTCTGGTCCAGCTCCGACCATCATAGCCATTTGGGGGAGTGAACCAGAAGGTGGAAGATTCTCTCTCCTTTCTCTTTCTCTCTCTCTTGTGCTCTCTCTCTTTCCTTTCAAATAAATACAGGAAATTTGGAAAATTTAGGAAGAAAAGCAGAATGGAAAAAATAGCATTTTGCAGCCCCTATCAAAATAATTGATTCACACAGGGGTAACCAGTGGATGCTAAAATAATGAGGGGAAAGATTGAAGAAAAACAGTTTCCATCAAAGTATTCTCCTATACATTACTCAGTTTGAAAGGGGAATAGCACCATTAATAGGAAGGAATTTGTGTATATCATCTAATTCACATGACCAAATTTATCATCACTAAAAACCTGGTAATCAGGTGCTGCCAGATAAAATAGAAGTTATGCTGCATCAGTTCTGAGATATCCCTGCTGGAATTATTTAACATCAATCCAACTAAACCTTTTGTCTTAAATTCCAGTGTATAGAGGAAAGGGAATTAGGGACAAGGGAAATAATACTTCAAGGAATCAGTCAGACGTTCCACAAGATAATTGGGCTTGGTCTCTTCAAAAAGAAAAGAAAAAAAGTTTTTAGTATTACAAAAAAATTTACATCACAAGTTAAAAGTAGCTGCATAAGATATTTGAGGAACAACTGTATAAATACACAATTATTATTTGAGGAACAACTGAATAATTGTGTATTTATACAGATGCTTCCAGGGGTGTTAAATTTTTTTTTTTTTTTAAGATTTATATGAAAGGCAGAGTTAGGGAGAGAGAGAGGTCTTCCATCCACTGGTTCACTCC